CCTCCTCACTCTTCTCTTCCTCCTCCTCCTCCTCCTCCTCCTCACTCTTCTCCTCCTCCTCCTCACTCTTCACACACACACACACACAAACACACACACACACACTCTCTCACACACACACACACACACACACACACACACACACACACTAGACACTCAAAGAAAATAATCAAATAATGAATTTATAATTAATCGAATGCGGTAAATGACAGAGGAGCATCACGTGACTGTGGTTTTCCCCTTTCGCTTCCGCTTTTGTTGTGTTTCTGACACAGAGATCGTGTTGTGATGTGCAGCGTCGGATCAGCCACAGTGACACGGAATAAAAGGAGCTAGCAGTCCACAGTGATGCTTGAAACTGTATGAGTGAGAATGAAAAATAAAAACTATGACTGAGATAAATCCACCGGAGGACTCTAAGGTAATAACTTGCCACAATGTCAGTATTATGCTTGTTGTAGATCTAATTTATTATCCAGCCAAGTTGGGGCGTATTTTGCTTAAATAAAGTGGTGTCTTATTTTTTTGTGCAGTAAGGTAGGGGTAGGGTTCAATAAGTACAGTGTAGGCCTAGATCTAGAATTTAGATCTACTAGGCATTCCGGCAGGTGGGGTTGAAGTTGAAGGCAAGGTTTACAGTCATCTCGTTACGCTATAGAGTATAATAGAGGTAGAAGGCACAACATGACTTTCTTTTCTGTCCCGGTGGTTGGTCCTTGAAACTGAAGGCTGAAGGTGTAGGAAAGTAGAAGACATGTTACAGTTACACACACTGCACTGGGGTGTGTGTATAGTCCATAGAGACATGAAGCTGCAGTGAGCACTTAGTTGACTTAGCACACCTCTGTGATTGACCCAAGTATAGATGAGGTATTTCCGCCATCTATCTTTGTCGTCTTCCGGGGTTTACCTCGCCAGGTAACTGTTGACTAGAATCTACATCTAATTTAGATCTAGAGTCTAGAGATCTAGATCTAGATATCTCGCCCTGCTTTTTTGTTTTTTTATATTGATCTATGGGTCATTCCACCAGAACTGTTTATCATTTAGTAACATCTAGACTATGTTCAAATTTCAAATTGGTTTCCTGTGAATACATTTTGTGGCAAGTTGTCACTTAAGGTAAGGTCTTGTTCCTGAAAATGCCAGACCCTCTTTGATATCTCTACATGAAAACACAATCTAGATCTAGACTATGAGGAATGTTACATCAGGCAAAAACTACAATGACCACAGATTCAAACAAATAAAGTCAACAGTTCATGTGAACGTGTTTTACTGATTTAAAAAACTTGAACCACTTGAAAAAAATCATAGAAATTAGCGCGGTGTCAACTGAAATGACATCAAAATGTGAAGAATGTTACCAGTGAGGAAATGTTCACATAAACCTTAAAACCAAACACTTCAAAGTAAACTAATGTTTAGTGACTGTGAATACAACTCACTTTGCGAAAATTGTGAGAAATGTTTCAGGACAGAATTATTGAGAAAAATCCAGTAAACTTTGACTATTTAACAAATTCCAAAATAACAGCACCGTTGAAAAAAGGCTTTAAATAGAAGGAACACCATTGAGGGTTACCTCCAGTTCACAGCTGAGGTGTTTGAAAGTAGATTTCTACACAAAATGTGAGGAATGTTACACAACATGAATTTCGTTTTCTTCCCCACAGCTACGCCAGATTGAAATCAAGAGATTTCATTTTTCTCCTTATACTGATTTTGTAGATTTGCACATGAATGTAACCACCCATCCATGTAGGCCTACATGTTTTGCAGTCTGCCTCAAAAACCTGAGGAACGTTACTTTTATGCGAACATTGTGAGGATTGTTTCATTGTCTAACATTGTGGACCAACACAAAGTGTCTTGTCCCATGGAACTTTCCTTCTTGATAAGAAAGATTCAGCCTCTGAAAGCGAAAGATCGGCTTCTGCACATGGCATTGGAAAGCATGGCGGCGGAAAAAAATGAAACGCACTTGGATAGACGAAGGTTGACGGGAATGTTACATTTGAACGAACATCGGTTTCATTTTTCAAAACGGCTTGAAAATACAAAATTAGACACTATCCTGCGAAATTCTTCTCTTACCTGTCCCCGCAGAATTATGCAAATTTAGATGGCCAAATTATGCAAGAAAAATGCAAATTATGCAAAAATTATTCAAGTTACCGCAAAACCATTCGCGACATGTTTTGCACGTTTTCAACAAGAATTTTCATGTTTTATACAGAAAAATTGAAAACAGAACTATCAGTATCAGTAATAATGTTAGGTATTTGGAAAGAAAACAATACACATAGTCAGAAAAAAATCAACCAAAAAATATAATCTCTGTAACTTTCAGCTGTAGATCTACAGAGAGGTAAGAAGAAAAGAAAAAAAAGACATCTGGACCTCTGATGCTGGCACATCACTAAAAGCAGGGACACCTGGTAAACATGAAACATCAGCAGACATGAAAACATGTTCTTGTGATGGATTCAAAAATTGAACAGGCTCAAGGAGCAAAATGACCCAAAACCAATTAAAACCAAGATCTTCTAACAAGGGAAATAACCAACTTGTCACTTAAATGAGACTTATTACAGTGATTACTTCCCTTTAGTCACATGGAAAGGCGTTAAATAATTTAATGGAAGGTTTTCAGCCC